TTTTCCACTTTGATTTTTTTTTTTTTGTCAGCCAAGATGGGCTTTTAAACCCAAATATCTTAGTAAACCGAATTTAAACCCAGACACACAAATTTCTATATTACAAAGTTCTAGGCCAGAATGTATTAATAAATGAGGCATTTTAGATATTAATTTTACCCTGTAGAGCATAATGTATATTGTTTATTTTTTTAAAAAAGTATTTTGCTCCTATTTAAATTAATATGGTTGTTAAAACAATATTTATGTTATCCTCGATTCATTTTTTATTTTAAAAATTTTTATTAAAAATTTTCAAGTGTACTTATTTATTTTGAAAGAGAAAGAGAATGGGCAGGGCAGGGGTAGAAGGAGAGGGGGACAGAGGATCCAAAGCAGGTGCTGTGCTGACAGCACAGAGCCTGATTTGGGGCTTGAACTCACTTATTGTGAGACCATGACCTGAGCCTAAGCCTGATGCTTAACCAACTAAGCTACCCAGGCGGCCCCTCAGTTCATTTTCATAAAAAATTCTATTATCATCTTTGTAATGTAAGACTATAGGAATGTATTTCTTTATAACATATAAACAAATACACGTACTCAGGATATGTGTTTGAAACTATCTTACGGATTCATGTATGCAAATTAAAAAGTTTAGAGATCCAGTTTTTGAAAAACGTGATCAGAGGGGCACCTGGGTGGCTCAGTCACTTAAGCATCTGACTTCAGCTCAGGTCATGATTTCACAGCTCCTGGGTTTGAGCCCCATGCCAGGCTCTGTACTGACAGCGTAGAGCCTGGAGCCTGCTTCGGAGTCTGTGTCTCCGTCTCTCTCCGTCCCTCAAAAAATAAATAAACATTTTTAAAAAAACAAGAGAAAAACTCTATTAGAGAAAATAGTTTTCTTAGAGATCTAGTCAATAATAAGGGAGACATCCTTTCTGTTCTCTTCTATGAATTAGGGATATGTACCAATTGATGATTATGGTGTGGATATTAATTATGTGCATATTATAAGCATTGTGTTAATGCTACTTGCTGTGGAAGTTAAAAACTTTTGTAACTACTAATAATTATTGGGCTAAAAGTAACTGATACTTACCATTCCTTTTGTGAATAAAGAGTGTTTAGAGACAGAAAAGGTAATGGCATTAGAGTTGAGTGCATATTAGTCAGAATCTTGAAACTGAAAGTCACAGAAGTAAATATTTTAGATAAATTATATTAACCATCTTTGGGGAATTGGTGAAAGATTCACCAATTAAAAATATATCATTTGTTTTTCTATCATACACTGTATAGACTTTCAAAAAAAGTATACTTTTGAAATGGTTACAAAAAATATAAACCATGTGCTCCTCTCAAATGGAATGTACAATCTAGTTGGAGAGGTAAGATATAACTTTTTACCTATACATCTTTTTACTTGAAGGGAAAGAGTGTCACACACGAGGTCCTTGACAGTTTCCTCTCCAGATGCTCCTGCTTACTGTGTAATAGTGAGGAATTTCTCATCACTACAAGCAGACAACTAGCACTGGTAACAGGGAGATGTTTTATTGAGAGTTTGTGTCATAATTAGCAGAATGGAACTTCAGCATCTCCTTTGCATGGACTTATTAGTTTTCCATTGCTATGTAACAAATTACCACATTTAGCAGCTTAAAATAAACAATATCCATTTATTATCTCAGTTTTTGTAGGTCTCAAGCTCATTACTGTATATTCTCTGTTCAGGGCCTGCAAAGCTGCAATCAAGGTGTCAGCTAGAGGCCAGAGTCTTATCTGAGCCTCACAAATCTCTTCTTCCAAGCTTATGTGGTTTTTGATAGAATTCATTTCCTTGCAGTTGTAGGACTCAGGGTGGCTCACTCTTTATGGCCAGCAGGAAAATAGCTCTCTTAGACTTCATGTCCTTTTAAAGGGCCTCCTTGATTATATCAGATCCAGACATGCCAATCTTTCTTTTTATTAGCTCAGTGTCAACTGATCAGTAACTTAATTGCTGGAGTGTTATCCTATCGCGTTCATTGGGCCTTGCGTACACATCCCCCAAATCTCTTCCACTTACGTGTTAGGGCAGTTTTTGGATGTGTACATCTGAAAATTATATAAGGGGCGGGGTGTATGTAACACCAGGACTCAGTAGTATTGGAGACCATCTTAGAATTCTGCCTTTCACAGCAAGCTTGGATACAATCTTTTGTCACCAGGTTTTTCAGAAGAAATACCAGTTTATTCATACATTCTTTGGCTTATATTCAGTATTATTGTTTCGTCTATGCACTGCATTCAAGGGATTGCTTCTTGTTTATAGTCAACAACTCAAGTTTAAAGTAACCTTGGTCTATAAGAGCTTCAATTAGTTTTTCAAGCAAAAAAACCAAATCTTATACTTCTTGGCAGAGAAGCTTTAATGAAAATTAAGTCATAAAACTGATAGGTTTGTTTTTTAATTTCTTAAGTTTACTTATTTATTTTTGAGAGCGAGAGTGAGAGAGATAGTGAGCAGGACTGGGGCAGAGAGAAAGGGGAGAGAGAGAATCCCAAGCAGGCTCCACACTGTCAGTGCAGAGCCTGATGCCGGGCTCGAACTCACCAACTGCAAGATCATGACCTGAACCAAAATCAAGAGTCAGGTACTTAACCCACAAAGCCACCCAGACAACCCCCAAAACTGACAGTTTCTGAATGGTCTGGGGAAGATTTTCACTCTTGGCTGTGTAGTAATGAGCTCAAGTCTAAAGTGAACCTCTGGGGGTCAGGAAGTTCCAAGGTACACACTTGGAGTCAAAGCCGCCCCCTTCCCTCCACCTCCAGCAGCTGTTGACTACTGCTCTCCTTTCTGTTTTTGTAATTTTACCGTTTAGAGCATTTTGTACAAATAGAGCCATATAGTAGGTAGTCCTTCTGTCTGTGGCTTCCTTTACTTAGCATAATGATTATGAGATTCATCCATATTGTTGCCTGTATTTGTAGTTTATTCTCTTATAGCTGAGTAGATTTTCATTCCATGGATGTACCACGATTTGTTTATCCATTCACCAGTTGTGGAAATTTGAGTTGCTTTTTCTCAAGGACTATCAGGAATAAAGCTTCAACAAATGTTCACAAGTGAGTGAAAATACCTCGTAATAGAATCTGGGTTATATGGTATAAGTATATTTAACCTCATAAGAAACTCCCAAGCTGCTTTCCAAAGTGACTGTATTATTTTGCATACCCAGATGCAACAGGGGCTGAGAATCCCTCATTATCTTCACCAATACTTGAGATGGTCAGGTTTTCCAAGTCATTTTGGTTTTAAATCTCCTGTCCGCTACTTGTTTGGTTTGTTTGCTCAAAGTGCCTTTTCCTTTATTCCTCATTTTCTTCTAAACTATTTTATTTTATTTTATTTTATTTCTTTTGAGAGGGAGAGTGAGGGAGAGAGAGGGAGAGAACAAGCAGGGGAGGGTCAGAGAGAAAGGGAGAGAGAGAAGATCTCAAGCCCACTCTGTGCTCTGCGCTGAGCCCAATGCAGGGCTCAAACTCAGGACCCTGGGATCATGATCTGAATGGACATCAAGAGTCCCTTCACTTAACCGAATTGAGTTACCTCTTCATTCTTTTAGATTGAATTTTTAAAAAAAGTTTTTTAACATTTATTTATTTTTGAGAGACAGAGAGAGACAGAACATGAGAAGGGAAGGGGCAGAAAGAGAGGGAGACACAGAATCCGAAGCAGGCTCCAGGCTCTGAGATGTCATCAGAGAGTCCGATGCGGGGCTCCAACCCATGGACCGTAAGATGATGACCTGAGCCGAAGTCAGGCACTTAACTGACTGAGCCACCCAGGCACCTATAGATTGAATATTTTTATGACTTTGTTTTATCTCCATTATTGACTTATTAGTAATACTTTATTATTTTATATTTAAGAGGATTCTAAGGATAAAATATACTTCTTTAATATTATACATTTTATAGGTAATATTATACCATTTTATATTTAGTATAAAATGTTAATTTAGTTCCATTTCTCTCTTTTTCCTATTTTATAAAATATTTTACTTCTACCTATGCTTAAATCCTTCAATGTATTATTATTTTTGCATTAAATAGTTGAGTATCTTTAAAAGAACTTAAAAATGATAAAATACCTTTTTATATTTACCCAGATATTTACCATTTCTGGTGTTCCTCATTTTTTTGGTAAGGATTTATATTTCTCTCTGATATAATTTTCCTTCTGCTTCACAAACTCACCTCAACATTCCTTGTACTGAAGGTTTACTGGTGATGAATTCTCGAAGCATTTTTTTTGTCTAAGAAGGTTTTTATTTCACTTTTATTTTTGGAAAACAAATATATTTTATTTTTGCTGTATACAGAATTCTAGGATAAAAGAGTTTTTTTTTCTTTTTTTAAAATACTTAAAGGTACTGCTCTAGGGGCGCCTGGGTGGCTCAGTCGGTTAAGTGTCCAACTTCGGCTCAGGTCATGATCTCAGAATTGGAGCCTCAGGTTGGGCTCTGTGCTGACAACTCAGAGCCTGGAGCCTGCTTCGGATTCTGTGTCTTCCTCTCTCTCTGCCTCTCCTTTGCTCACACTCTGTCTCTCTCTGTCAAAAATAAACATTAAAACATAAAGATACAGCTCTATTGTGCTTCTGACCAGTCTGCCATTATTTTTTTTTATTTGTTTGGCTTTTGTCCTTTGTATTCAGTCTGCCTTTTTTCTCTGGCTGTTTTCAACATTGTCTTCTTATGACTTGATTTTCAACAATGGGATTATGATATGCCTTAATACAGTTTTCTTTACTTTCACACTGCTTGAGGTTATGAAGCTTCTTTGAACCATTAATTATAAATGTGATTAAATGTGGAGATTTTCAGCCATTATATCCTCAATACTTTTCTGTTCTTCCCACCTTCCTTTGGAGACACCAATTTACACAGAAATGTAGCCAATTGATGTTGTCCTACAGGTCACTCATTCTGTCTTTTTTTTTTTTTCAATCTCTATGCTCTCCTTACCTGTGATCAGAACTCCAGTCAGTCAGTCCCTCGCACCATGTAAACATTAGCAGTGTTGACTTGACTGCTTCTGCCCACCATGTTGACAGAGTAGCAGATAAAACTTCTCTGCAGAAAAAATAATTATAAAATCTGTTCACGGAGAGAAGTAAGATTGAGAAACAGAGAAAGCATGCTCTCTGAACTTTTGATTTTTTTCACACCCTGAATTCAGTGTCTTCAGAGGCTTTCTACATGCCTGTCTTTGGAGTGCCAGGCTCAATTCTTGACCACGTTTTTGTACTTGGTTCTGAGAAATGCCCAGATCTTTATAATAAATCATCTTTATTTTGCTTAAGCTAGCTAAATTTAGTTTTCAACAACAATGCCAAGGTGATTTTTTTTCTCTGTTTCAGTGTGGAAAATTTTGTTCAAAATGAATTCTATATGGAACCCCGTCATGTAAAGAAACAAAAATGGGAGTGCTCCAGTGTTATAGGTGTTGAAGAGCTCTCTGAAGATCCGATACTTGCATCCCTTCCCCTCCCCCATGGCACTAATTTACTCCACAAACTCTAGGACTTCTTGGAACACAGTTTGACAACCATTGTTCTATAGGATGATTCTCACAACTCATATTTTCTGTATATACATTTTGGCTTTCATACCTGTGTTTTAGCCCATGCTGTTCTGTGGTTCTAGAAAGTTCTTTTCCTTAACCTTTTCTTTACCTTTGTTTTGGCCATTCTTCAGGGTCTATGTTGCTTAAATGGTCAATCATTCTGAAGGCCTTCCTAAATCATTCTTATAAGGGGAGAAATGAGGGCAAGCTACAATTTGGTGCTGCTCAAATATTTTGTCCCTTCTTTAATTTCTTTTTAAAAAGCTTGAAAAACACTCATCTAATTCCTCAAACAGAAAGGAATCAAGATAAGCCCAGATAGATGAAGCCTAATCTTTGTCATACTTTCTGAACAAAAGGAAACAATCACATGTTTATTTCAGTATTTGGAGGGAAAACTTAACAGAGAACAATGTTAATTATGTATATTTACAAAGATCGTACAGCTACTTTTCTTATTTATTTATTCATCTATTTATTTATTTTTTTTATATAGCTACTTTTCTAAGATATTGTCTGACTTTAATGCTCTGAAAATTTTGTATGAAATTCTTACTCTATCACCTTGATAAGGGAAGGGGAATAAAATTAATATTGAATAAACAATGTATACCAGCCAATTTGTTAGATTTAACTTTCAGAGCTCTTTACGATATAATGCAGTCAGCTTTTTAAACTTTTCAGTTGTCACATTGTGAAGTCTGGATTCATTTGATGGTACTTATTAAATGAGACAGACAATGAGTAAAAATAAAGCAGCATATTAGGGTGTTTATGTCAATTTTTTCTTGGAATTCAAAGATACTTTTATGTTTACTACATCTGTTCTTTTTCAAGAACAAAAGTGCTTCATGCTAGTGTTTATCGTATGAAGGAATTAAGCAAAGTCTTGATTTATAGTAAGAATTGCTTCTTCCTAAAGGAGGTTTAATAAATCACACACGTTGAGTATAAATCATTTCATACCAACACAGCTCTTCAAGTAAGAGTATCTTGTATGTGATGACAATTCTGTGGTTGTTAGGTAACATGTACCTAAGTTTCTATTGCAGCCTTTACCTGCCTTTGTCATTCAGCTATCAGAAATAATAGAAAGGATGGCAAAGTAGTCTATGTGATCATGCAGAAATGTACACAATAAAATAAAATAGCTGCAGACTTTGCATAATATAGCATAACATAGCATAACTGCCAAATGATAAGCTGTGTACTTAAATAGTAATAACTAAATTAATATAAATGCCACATCTTTTATGAAAATATATTTAATAATGATGTTCGTTTTGTGTTGCCACCAACAGTAAACACTAAAGCATTCCACATTCCTGATAACCAACTTTCCAATCTACATGCAACTGCCAGATATTAAATATTAAATATTAAATATTAGGAATATTTAGGATCAGGAATACAGTATCAAATATTAAAGGTTAGGAATACAGTATCATTAGTAGTGTTGCCAGGTATGGAATTATGCTTTGTATCGGGAGAGAGATACAAAAGATATAGTCCTTTCTCCAAGAATTTGTATCATAAAACATTCAATTTGAGAAGATAAAAATATGAGACAAGTGTGGAGATCTGACATAATTTCACCATTACACTAACACAGACTTAAGATAGTAGTTTATTCAAAAGCTCAGTTTTTAAACAAGTTGTTTAGTTTTTACCATGTTAAGTACCTATGAAAAAGAAATATGAGTGGGCCTTAGAAAGCCTGTAAATAACTTGAAATTGATTTCAAAATATTTTGGGAGAGAGGGGCAGTGTATACATTTTGCTGGAGAGAAGGTATATAGCTTTCATCAGCCTCTCCATTAGTCTATAAGCCCCCCAAAATTTTAGGGGTGTTAATATCAAAGTTCAGGTTGATTATTTTTTTGATGTTAAAGGGAATTATCGTTGTTTTTGTATAATGTTGATGTAACAAAAGTCTGCTGAAATGAAATGTAATGATATGGATTCAGATGTATCTCTTTCTTTAGGATAATAATATTCAGAATTTAGAAGACATCCTATAGTTATCTTCCATAATCTGATTAAAATCAGCAAATACTTGCCCAATGGTCATCAGGGGTCACAAAGGAATTAAAAATATGTAAAATGAGTAACATAAACTTATAGGATACTACAGAGTGGTAGAAATGATGTAAAACCAGACAGTGTATGTCTCTCCTAAAGGTATTAAAATCCGCTGTGTTCCTTTATTTTATTTTATTTTATTTTAATTTTATTTTAATTTATTCTTGGGAGAGAGTATGGGCAGAGGAGGGGCAGAGAGAGAGGGAAACACAGAATCCAAAGCAGTCTCCCTGCTCTGAAATGTCAGCACAGAACCTGATGCAGGGCTCAAACTCATGAACATAAGATCATGACCTGAGCCAAAGTTGGATGCTTAACTGACTGAGTCACCCAAGCGTTCCTCATTCTTTCTTTTAATACCATGGCACTGAGGAAAGTGCCAGCTGAAGAAAACATCAGTTTGTGACCCCTGAATGGTTGAAGAGTCACTATTGGTTGTTTACAGCAGCACTATCGACAATAGCCAAAGTATGGAAACAGCCCAAATGTCCATCGGCAGATGAATGGATAAAGAAGATGTAGTATAGATATACAGTGGAATATTACTCAGCAGTCAAAAAGAATGAAATCTTGCTATTTACAACTATGTAGATGGAACTAGAAGGTATTATGCTAAGCGAAATTAGTCAGAGAAAGACAAATATCATATTGACTTCACTCATATGAGGACTTTAAGATACAAAACCGATGAATATAAGGGAAGGGAAGCAAAAATAATATAAAAACAAGAAGGGGGGCAAAACATAAGAGACTCTTAAATACAGAGAACAAACTGAGGGTTGCTGGAAGGGTTGGGGTGGGGATATGGGCTAAATGGGTGAGGGGAATTAAGAAAGATATTAATGGGATGAGCACTGGGTCATCCATAGCTCAGTCAGTTATACATACAGGATGAATCACTGGAATCTACTCCTGACATTATTATTGTACTATATGCTAACTAACTTGGATGTAAATTAAAAAGGAAAGGAAGGGAGGAAGGAAGGAAGGAAGGGAGGGAGGGAGGGAGGGAGGAAGGAAGGAAGATAATCACTATTGGTGATAAATCTAAATTCACCATTGATGTGTAATGATGCTACTATATGCCTCATATGGTTTTACTGATTATGCAGAGTGAATTCATTTCATATTTGTTGATCTTTTATTAAATAAATAAGTGTATAGTGGTAAACTCATTCTAATTCTGGTCTGGGTATGTCCACCATTTTAATACTAATTTTGATTGCCTCAAATTTGATAAAATTAAACACGCTTGGCAAGCCAAGAAACTTTATCCTGCTATGTTGAGTGTTTGAAGGCCTCTAATTAAACTGACAAATGACAGATTAGCAAGAGAAAAAAAACCAGACTTAATTATATAGGTACCTGAGAGTTCACAAGAAAGGTGAGTCAGGGAGGTGGTTGAATTTGGGGCGTACATCCGATCTTAATTGGGGATGGGAAGGGCAGAGTGACACTTTTGGAAGAACAAATGATTTCTTAGAGGAGGAAAAAAGGGTACTTAAGGAAAAACAAATGACTTTTTGAAAGATAAATGGGTCTTTAGGAAAATAGATATGAGATATGATAGTTTTGTGGCAATGTCTGCTTGGGTGTGTAGATTTTGGTCTCTAAGAAGAGAGGATAAGAGTTGCCCCTGGTCCTGGTCGGTGATTTATGACAGTTGACTTCTCTTATGAGGCTCTGCTTTTAGGGAGATAAGGGATTTCAGGAACCCAAATGCCTTTGGCTTAAAATAATTTTTATGCATAGTGGCTTACTCGGGAGCCCTTCAATATGAAGCAGCCTAATATGAATATATGAAAAAAAATGACTTTCTATTGTGAAAAGTAAGCATTTGAGGCTTCTTAGATCATTTATACTAGACTCTTATTGAAGTCCATATTTTTCTTTTTTAAAAAAATTTTAACGTTTTTTAAATTTATTTCTGAGAGAGAGAGAAGCAGCATGAGCAGGGGAGGGTCAGAGAGAGAGAGATACACAGTATCCAAAACAGGCTCCAGGCTCTGAACTAGCTGTCAGCACAGAGCCCAATGCAGGGGTCGAACCCATGAACTGTGAGATCATGACCTGAGCCGAAGTCAGATACTTAACTGACTGAGCCACCCAGGCGCCCTGAAGTCCCCATTTTTCTAAGTGTAGTGAGTTAGAACCATAGTCACCAGTTTAATAAGCTTTGAAAGAAACACATTAAGGGGGAAAAAAACCCCACTTCTGAGTTGCTAAATCACAGGCTACAAATAGGTGAGCTGAAATAGAACAATTATAGTAAATCAATGGTTTATCCTTTTACTTTTTAAAGATCAGAGACTTTAAAGTGTTTTTCTGAACTCAGATGACTTTATGACCAACAGCAATTGACTAGTTTCATTTTAATTAATACTATTGCTAAAAAGCTGATTCTGAGCAGAGTATTCTGGATTCTAATAGGTTAAACAACTTTCTTCAAGAGCATACACTTAAAAAAATAAAATTTGTGAGGTGCCTAGGTGGTTCAGTTGGTTAAGCATTTGACTCCTGATTCCAGCTTCGGTCATGATCTCACAGTTCGTGAGTTCGAGCTCTGTGTTGAGTTCTGTGCTGACAGTGCTTGTGTCTGCTTGCACATGCACTCATGCTCTCTCTCTCTCAAAAATAAACATTTTCAAAAAAATAAAATTTGTTCTACTTTTCACTGACAATACAACAAACAACTATCTGTATGTTGTAGTGCCAACCACTCACACCTTCTATAAGCATCTTTCTCCTGGAGCTTATATTCTTCCTCATCCTTCCCAGAACTCCCTTTCTTCTTAACTGCACTTCCTCCCCACCCACCTCTCCCCCCAACGCCCCCCACCCCTCCTCCTGGGATGGTTTTCCTTTCCAGGATATCTCTGTTACTCATTGGCAGAAGTTTAGAGTTACAAAGGACTCACAGATCAGAGATATGAGGCAGCTGCTCCGAAAATCCCCAAAATGAGAGAAACGTATGGATGTGATTTTTAAGAAGCGAGACCACCTCTTTTCAATCATTAACAAAACAGCATACAAATCTCATGGAGTCTTTGTGAAACATTGCCACCTTGGGGCCTGAGACCTGAGATGTCTGCATTTCTGACAAGCCGTCACTGAGGCTAATGCTGCTGGTCCAAGACCCAGTTTGCTTGGTGTCAAGGAGGTGGACTGTCCTGTTTATTAATGCACTTTTTCCTCAAAGGTTCTGAAAAACACTTAAGAATTAAACTGTTTTTCATTATCTTTCTTGCTACTTTATTATTCTTTGGATTTACTCAAGGTTGCTGAGTTTTATACAGAATTTATGAAATCTACGGTTTCTCTTAGGTGATAATCTTGTAAGAGGGCATGCATCCTGATGTACTTGTATGATAATCAGAAGATAAGACAGCTTTGCCTGATTCTTGCAACAGGATAGTGATGCTTCATTTTTAAAAGCAACAACAATCCCAAAGAACAACTAAAATTCATTGTGCTACGGGCTGCAGTAGGATATGCATAATTGACAGGGGAAACAGATGGAAAAATAACCTGCATCTGGGGAAGAGTAAAAGCCCATTGGGAGGAGGTAAAACTCGGGGTTAGGCTTGAAGGATGGGTAAGGTTTACCTTTCCGGGAAGGGGGAGAGAAGGCTCTGTGCAGAGAACATGGCAGCACAAAGGTATGGAGGCACTTGCCCTTGCAGCAGACTTTTGATGGTGGGTATCATGTTCCTTATCTGACAAGTTCACTACTGAACTTTGCCATTACTATATTATTTATAGCAACAAATAATTGAGATTAAAAGCAGGTATTTCTGTTTTTAAAAAATGTAGTTGAAAAAGCAAGTGGAAATTAACTTTTTTATAATTACTCTCTGCACCTCCTTTTAAGTGAAGCTTTGTAAAAGAAAAAAAAAAACAGAAAGAAAAGAATGTATTTTGCATCTGTGCCTGGCTCACTGACGAGGAAGCTTCTAGAGCTTGCATCAGAAGCAGCTCCTATTGTTTTCAGGCACAAGACTCGTTTCCCCATGGAATTAGACACGATCACTTTTGACTGTAATTTTTAGGAAATCTCCATGTGCCAAGTAAGCCTTTTAAGCAACCGGCTTTATACAGTCTGTCTTTTTGTTTTTATTTTTCCCTATCAGTCAAAGTAACTGACAGGCATTTACTAGGGGAACACTATAAAAAAAACAAAAATCAAAAAACAGTGCAGTGCAAGCTTCGAATATAGCTAACATTAACTCTATTTGTTTGTTATGCACATATTTATTTTGCAGTATTTTATACTGAGCACTTTTCTAGGCTTTGGAAGTAAAATGACAGACCAGACAGTAGGTATCCCTAACCCTAAGAAGCCTACATTTTACTGGAAGTACCACGAAGTGATAGGGAACTCTAATAAGTGGTTCTCAAAGTGTGGTTCATGGACCTTAGAGGGTCCCCAGGACCCTCGCAGAGTGCCAATGGGGTCAAAACATCATGATAACACGGAGACATCTGCTTTCCTCCCCACATTGTTGATACTTGCATAGATGGAGTGCAAAAGCAATGACGGGCGGATCGGGGGTGCCTGAGCACAAACACCAGCAGTGGGATCAACTGCTCTGCATTTCTAGTGTTGTCTTCTAGTCACTGTATTCTTGTGGCCACACACTTTCAGGGGAAAAACAGAAAACATCAGTTGCACTCAAGAATGTACTTAATGAGGGGCGCCTGGGTGGCTCAGTCGGTTAAGCGTCTGACCAGCTCAGGTCATGATCTCACAGTTCGTGGGTTCGGGCCCCACGTTCGGCTCTGTGCTGACTGCCAGCTCAGAGCCTGGAGGCTGCTTCTAATTCTGTGTCTCCCTCTCTCTCTGACCCTCCCCTTTTCACGCTGTCTCTATCTCCCTCTCAAAAATAAAATAAAACGTTAAAAAATTTAAAAAAAGAATGTACTTAATGAAGCAGTAAAAGTTAATTTTATTAAATCTTGACCCTTGGGTAAATATTACTTGACTATTCTGTGTGAATAGAAAAAGATGGATGTAGGACTTCAGCCAGATGGCAGAGCTTTCTTTCACCCAGGAAGGAAGGAAGGAAGGAAGGAAGGAAGGAAGGAAGGAAGGAAGATACAGTTAGCAATCCATGAATTAAAATAGCTCTAGGAGGGGCACCTGGGTGGCTCAGTCGTTGAGCCTCCAACTTCCTCTCTGGTCATGATCTCACAGCTCATGAGTTCAAGCCTTGTGTAGGGCTCTGTGTTGACAGCTCAGAGCCTGGAGTTTGCTTCATATTCTGTCTGTCTGTCTCTGTCTCTGTCTCTGTCTCTCTTTGCCTCTCCCCTATTCTCTCTCTCTCTCTCTCTCTCTCTTCCTCTCAAAAATAAATAAAAACATTAAAATAAAATGAAATAAAATAGCCCTAGGAGAGTTCAAGATTTAAATTAACTTACAAAAGGGATTGGTGGGCAATGGCATAGCTGTGTTATCCCCAGAAGGCAGAAACAAGGAAGGGCGGGACTATCACTACCGCGGTCAGTATCACAGCTGATACCACCCACGTCCTTAGTGACATCACTGTTGCAGACACCCCCGCCCCCGGCCGTGGCTGGAGACGCTGTTGTGTGCCTCCTGGGAAGGAGCTACTGTTGTGTCATCCTGGGACCGAGGCCAGCAGGCCCCCTCCCCTGCAACCCCACATTGTCCTTGAACCCCAGAGCTCCAGCCGCCGAGCACTTGCCTGCACTTGGGACCTCAGCTCCTACGACGTTCTTTACACACGCACGGCCCAGCCGCTGGCCTGTAGCTGCTCCACGTGCGCACGCAGGCATCGGAGGTACCAGAGCCACTGCCACAGAGGGCCAGCGAGCCCCTGACCGCCAGAGCTGTTTGTTCTTTCCTATGTGCCCGCACTCTGGGCCTGCCCTGTGGCTGCACATCACACACCAGTGCTATCGTGACTGCAGGGTGCCCGCAAACCAGACCTGGTGCCGAGAGGGGTCCTGTCAGCCACACTGTCTCCCGCAGCCTTTGCCACCGAAGAATGGAACCGCTCTCACGACTGCTGCAGACGCAGACATCCTGGGCCCTGGAGGACCCCTGAAGTCTGCACCAAGACTGGCCTCAGCTGGGGGAGCCACAGAGCAACGGCGCTGTGGGCTGTCGCTGGAGCAGGAGCTGCCAAACCCCGTACAGCTGGTGCTGCCCGCTCACCTGTGGGCAAATAATCTTTCCCACACGAAACTGGTCAGCAGAGTCTAGACCAAGACAGTGCTGGGTCAATGGGAGACTACAAGAAACCAGCCTGTAATGAGCGGAATTGTTAGACATGGTATCAGTAACCAAAAATTTCCCAACAAAGAAAAACCCAGGCTCAGGTGGCTTCACTGGTGAATTCTAAAACTTTTAAAGAAGAATCAAACCTTCTCAAACTCTTCCAAAAAAACTGAGGGAGAGGTAACACTTCCGAACTCATTTTAGGAGGCCTGTATTGCCCTGATACCAGATCTGGACACAGTAAGAACGCAGAACTACAGACCAATATTCCTGATGAACACAGATGCAAAAATCCTGAACAAAATATGAGCAGACCAAATTCAACAGCATATTAAAAGGCTCATACACCAGTGTCAAGTGGGGTCTATCCCTGGGATTCAGAGATGGCTCAACATGCAGAGCAACGGAGACAAACCATCTTAGCACGTGAAGGACAAATATCATATGATCATCTCAATAGGTGCAGAAAAAGCATTTGACAAAACTCAACATTCTTTGTGATAGAAACTCTCGACAAACGAGGAAATGTGCCTCAGCATCGCAAAGGACATACCGACAAGTCCCCAGCTAAGATCACACTCAGAAGTGAAAAACTGAAAGCTTTTCCTCTCAGATCAGGAACAACACAAGGATGTCCACTCCCGCTGCTCTTCTTCAACCTACTACTAGAAATCCTAGCCAGAGAATTAAAAGGCATCCAAATCAGAAAGAAAGAATTAAAATGGTCTCTGCTTTCAGAGGACATGATCTTACACATAGACAGCCCTAACGGTTTACATGAACAAAACCTGTTAGGTCTAACTAATGTACTCTGTAAATTTTCAGGATACAAATCAATATACAAAAACCAGTTATGTTTTTATACACTAACAATAAACTATCTGAAAGATAAACTAAGAAAGTAAATTATAATAACATCAAAAACAGTAAAATACTTGGGAATAAATTTAGCCAAAGGGGTGAAAAGATGTGTATCCTGAAAACTATCACACATTGATGAAAGAAGTTGAGGAAGACACAAAGAAATGGAAAAATACCACATATTCTTGGATTGGAAGGGTTCATATTGATAACCTATCCTTACGACCTAAAGTACCTACAGATTAAATGTAATCCCTACTAAAATTATAATGATATTTTTCACAGAAATAGTTTTTATCCTAAAATTTGTATGGACCCACAAAAACACTCTGAATAGGCAAAACAATCTTATGGAAGAAGACCAAGCTGGAGGCATTACGCTTATTAATTTCAAACTATATTACATATCTGTAACCATTAATACAGTATGGTGGTGGCATAAAAACAGACACAGAAAGCGTGGACCTGGAAGGGTGAGTAAAGCCTCTTTAGTTTAATGGTGTTCAAACACGTGTGCATCAGGATCACCAGAAGGGCTTCTCAAAATGCAGACTGCTGGGCTCCACTTTTCACATTTTGGATTTACTGGACTGAAGGTGGACGAGTGAATTTGCATTTCTAACAAGTTCCCAGGAAATACTGATACTACTGTAAAGTGGAGATACCGGTATACTGCATGAGCCCTAAAACACTATTTCTTACGCCAGTATTTCACATATGTTAGAGAACGTAGTTTTTAATTTACAATTTGCTCTTCTCTAGAACACAAACAGATTCAGGGGACTCTACCCAGTGTATATTTGAGGAGGGGCCACTATGATGCTACTCCTTTCCTCAGAGGCTTTATTGTTGGGTCTGAAGCTTTCTTGCTGGGTTCAGTTAATCCCACCAGCTCTTCTGCGTCATGGCTGCCTATGAGGGGCTGTCTCACACTCCCTGTGATTAGATTACCGTGGCACTAGCTCATTTAGTACACAGTCATGGGTAGGAACACCCAACTTCCTGCAGAGAAATGGCTTCAATTCCATGACTTACACAAATAGACTTCTCTTGGGATGGCTGGCATCATGAGGTGCTAAAGCCATTTTATGCTCTTTTCACTGGCTGCCTATAAGAACCCAATGTTCTCTTCCCTTTGGTGTTATGTACTATTTAAATACTCTCAATCCTGTACCTTGTATGATATTCCTCGTGTTAGGTTCTTACGTGCTATGTGTCTTACACCTGACACAAAAGCCACTTTTAAGAGACAGTCTTCAGGAAGCTGCTGGGTTTAGGGCAAACAGGCCCAAATAAAGGAGCGGCTGGTTAATTGGTGATCCTCAGTCTCTAGGCTGCAAAGCAAAATGCTCATTCAAACATTTGTTGAATGAATGAGTGAAACCAAAAGCAAGCTTCTGTTATATTATTTCCACCTTTCTTGTTCCCAACTACACAAAAGTTGAAGCAGTTAGAAGACACTTGATACAATAAAACTTTCCCTAAGACAGTTCAACCTGAGGAAGGATGTTGACTGTTAACATCGACATGGAAAAGCTTTAGAAGAACTAGAGTGTTTTGAGAACAGCTTATTTCCATTATGTTTTGCATTACCTGATTGGAACAGCTACCCTCACCCATTCACAGCAGCAAGTCAAGCTTCCCCATGGAATTCTGCCTACTCAGCCTTTCAGCTGCAGAGTGAACATCATCGGTATATCCAGATGATCAGCCAGTGGTGACAAGATCTGATTCTGAAGTTTGGGCTCTTGCCCACTGATATGTGTAAATGTACATCCTGCCATCTTTCACTACTGAATTTGGAATGAGAGAGGATGACAACAGGAGATTTGAGTCAATCTTCTGGTTGAGCTAAAATGTAGTCAGAAGAAGAGTTGTAGAATGAGACTGGGCAATAACCGTGGGGTGAGCTGCTACCATGAGGGCAAAGCAGGAGCTGAGGCAGACAGATCCACAGAGTCCACGGCAATGTGGCATATTGGGGAGGCATGTGCTTCTGTGATATTAGTAATTGTTATTCCAATGACTAGGTACCAAATACAGTAATAACTTCAACAGATACAATTTTTAGTTTTTAATCATTCTCTCTAGCCTATTTGAACTTACATTTCTTCGCAGAGTAAGAATCAGCAATATATTATCAATCAAATTATATATTCTCTAAAGGAGGTGAGTTTCATCATAGGATATATTTTAAATATATGAATCTTATAAAATATTTTAAGCATATTGAAAACTGTAATAAAAATATCCAAGCAAAAAAGAAGCAAAGCAGTCTTAGATATTAAAAAGTTATAGGGACGCTTGGGTGGTTCAATTGGTTGAGCGTCTGACTTCGGCTCAGGTCATGGTCTGGTGATCTGTGGGTTGGAGCCCCACATAGGGCTCTGTGCTGACAGCTCAGAGCCTGGAGCCTGCTTTGGATTCTGTGTCTCCCTCTCTCCTTCTCTCTGCCCCTCCTCCACTTTCATTCTCTCTCTCTCTCTCAAAAATAAAGAAATATTAAAAAAATAAATAAATATTAAAAAATTAAAAAGTTATAGAAGTTTTAAAATAATACTATTTAGTATAAGTTAAAAATATTTTTTTACACTTATTTATTTTGAGAGACAGAGACAGAGAGCAACTGGAGGAGAGCCAGAGAGAGAGAAGGAGACACAGAATCTAAAGCAGGCTCCAATCCCTGAGCTGTCAGCACAGAGCCTGATGCAGAGCTCTCACCCACAAACCATGAGATCATGACCTGAGTTGAAGTTGGACAATTAACTGAGCCACCGAGGTGCTCAGTTTAAGATATTTTAAACATAATATTTTGTAACCCTTTGTTCTTCATAGTTCTCAGAGTTCTATGATTGTGAAAAATCAACATAAGATACAAACTTATATTTTATTAAATATATGTATATGTTCATTTAATATTATATGTATTGTGAAACAAACTAGAGCCAGACAATCTATAAACTACAGCTTATAAATAGCAAACCTCTACTGAATGCTCAACAAAAGTGTTAACAGCTACTGAATCTCTTCATGTTCTTGACAATACATCTGTCACTTTCTTTATGTTAAACTACTCCTACTGAGAAGTAAAAACTTATATTCCTCTCTCTCTCTCCCTCCCCTCTTTATGCTAGGGAGCTATTGTTGTTGATAGAAAAACATTTTCTAGAAAATAAACTTAACTGAGTTTAACTTGCTATGTCCCTAAGAGATTGCAATGTGAAGATGGAAAGAAAGCTATTATATATTCTTTAAAGTTTTAAGTTCAATAGGTTTCATGCTTGAAGTGAGAAAAAGGAGGAAATAAGGTAAATCACCCACAGATGTCTCCTGATCTTTTCTTTGGCCTCCAGCACATTTCAAAAGC